TATGACTATGACTATGAGTATGAGTATGTGTGTGAGTATGACTATGAGTATGACTAGTATGACTATGAGCTAAAGTTCGGATCCTAATACTAATAGTAATAGTAATAATAGTAGGCCTATTACAGTATTACTATTAGTATTAGTAGTACTAGTCTCATTTCATATGATCTGTTAAGTGTTGGTGTTACCAGTTTCACAGCAAACGGATTATCCTGAAATATATTAGAAAGTCAAAAGAAATCAGAGTACAACGAAATAACGAACAAGAGTACGTACAAGAGTAGTAAATAACAAATGAGACAACAATAACTTTGGAAAGTATGACATGTGCCGGAAAAGGAAATGTCTTGTGCCACCGAATGCACTGCGCATGTGCGAAAGTGGAGCGTGTGGAGAAAAGTGTCTCCCTCGCGAGATCTCATTCAACGGGAAGTAAACATGTCATCGGCGCGTAAAGTTGATTCGAGCGATCGCTCTGACACATTTTTCGTTAGAATGCGACATACGTTGTCCGAGGCAGTGGCGAACCGCAGCGAACGCACAGAGAGCACGAGAAAAGAGCCGATGAAGGAGAAGCTATCGGCGATCGACCGCGAGATTCGAACCCTTCACGAGTTGTGCATGAAACGCGGTTTCTCCGAGCCGCAGATATCCGATGTGGCTGCGCCGCTATTGCAAGCGATCGACGCGGCTTCGAAGAGGCGATTGTTGGGCATAGCTGCGAGAATTGTTGGCTTTCTTCTACTTGTCATGGGTCTTTTCTACATCAACCCGATGTATAACATCTTCTGTGTCATTGGCAGAAAAATGGAGATAAAGGTAGGGCCTACATGATGTGTATGTATTTATGACGTATACGTAAGTTGTAACCTCGCTTGTAAGTTGTACTTGTTGTATTTGTAAGTTGTAGAACTTTGTTAGCTCATCTGACATAGTCAGATGCAGCTTGTAGAATCGCATGAGCGTGCGTCCGTCCGTCCGTCCGTCCGTGCGTCCGTGCGTGCGACCGTCCGTCCGTCCGTGCGTCCGTGCGTGCGTCAACAGTTGGGCACAAATCTTAACCGCTCGACGTACGGTCACGATATTCGGGACGTCGGGGGGGGGGATCGTCAAAACGAGTTAGGATGTCGACGCTGGGGGTCAAAGGTCAAGAGGTGTAAAAGAAGGGAACATTTCCTCCTTAACTTAATTAAGGTATAGGGAGGAAATGCAGAATTGCGGCACAAATCTAAACGGCTCGACCTAGGCTCGTGATAGTCGGTGTATAGCATCATGGTAGGAAAAGCCATCACTGTGCCGAAATTGGAGGTCACAGGTCAAAGGTCAATGGGGCATCCCATTACGCATGCATTGGGGTGAACTGGCACTATTCTAATCATAATTATTGCCTGGCAACCTGCAATGCAGATGTGTTAATTACTCACAGCTGAGCGAAATTCTCGCCTGCCTAAATATACTTGGATTTCAGCAACTCAATGGATTGAGGTTATCACGCACGAAGGGTGATGCCATCTTTGATTATTGATGACACTTGCACGCGCCATCTCGCGGCAACAGCTTTTGCTGTTATAGAGCCCCTTTCACGCGCCCTCTCCCCCCACTCTCCCCCCACCACCACCACTACGCTCGCGCTCGACGCATATCCATGATAACATGTTAATATAGCGAAGTCATTAAAGTTACACAGCTGTATCTTTATTACTGTACTACCGGTACAGCAAAGCCTAGCTAATTGCTCGTATGCTGGTCGGCGCGTTTGATTTTCCTCTAGAAAAGCGAGTTTGCATTTCTTCCGT